CCCTCAATGTCTTGAACAGGGTCTGGTATATAAATAGTTGTTTGATTAATTGATTAATTATGTAGCATTGAAGGCCCTGTGCTAAGAACTTTATGCATTATCTATAATTTGGATTCTTGTTTCACAGATGAGGAGACTATAGGTCAGAAAAATTGAAGAATTTTGATTTGGGAGGCTGAGGCAGGAGGATTCCAAGTTTGAGACCAGCCTCAGCAACTTAGCAAAACTTAAGCAAAAGTAAAAAAATAAAGAAAGAGCTGGGGATTAGGTCAGTGGTAAAGCACCCCTGGGTTCAATCTCCAGTACCAAAATAATATTAATAATAAAGTTGAAGAATTTGCCCAAAGTCACACTCAAAAAGACTAAAATATTGCAAAGGACAGTGCTCAGAAAAGAGGAAGCCTTACTCATTGCTGTGGAGAGCTTATTGACACAAAGCCATTTCTTAATTCTCTCTTAGGATGGTGACAGGCTGCCCCTCTGCATCTAGAACTCAGGCTGCTGCCAAAACTGAGATGTACTTTCCTTTCAGACAAAGAAGGTCTGTTTCACAGAGGACAGCTCAGCTGGGGAACCTGTGGTCAAAGAGCACCTGGTAGAAGGACCAGCTTGGGCTTTGTGAGCCTCCTGCCTGTGCTTCCCTTTGCAGGATCAGTGAGGGAATGGGGTAATTCAGATGTGGAGCTTACTCAGCAGCCTAGTGGTTGCACACCCCTCCCCCAGCCCTGGTTCTCAAAAGCTTCCAGCTTAGAGGAAAAATGGAACAGAAGTGCAGGGAGATGTTTTAGTTCAAACTCCAATTAGGAGGAAAGTTTAGGTTAAGAATCTCACACACACACACACACACACACACACACACACTCACAGCCCATTGAGTTAAAAGGCTCAGATGGGTCTTATAGAACACAAAATGGCTTGGTTATTGATTTCCAAAATGTTTTGTTCAGGCTTTGCTCTGATCAATAGCTAAGCTCACATTCAACACTGGCACACATGGGTTGTGGGACAGGCACAACCTACAGTGTCAGCACTGCTTGTTATCTTGCATGACTTTGGGCAGGAATTTTTAGCCCATTTGCTTCCATTTCCTCATCTATAAAAATGGGACTAAAAGGGTACCTTTATAATAATATAAATGATGAATAAATTTATACTCTGTGAGATACTAATTACTGACTAATCTTGTCCCCATTCCTCCCATTAACCCAAAGCTAAGAGGCTAGCTGGAAGTCATCTAGCAAATGAGGGAAGAGCTAGAAACCCTACTTCTAAGGCCCAGCCATTCCTAGTTCTGGATGCTCTGCCCTTCAAATACTGAGGCCATCACAAACTCCCTGAGCTGTACTGACATGTCATTAGTTCAACAAATATTTATTGAAGGTCTGCTGTATGTCAGACACTGCTCTAAGCTGAGCATACAATTGTAAATAAAAGACAGACAAGGTCACTGCATTCGGGAGCCTACATTTTTTTTACAGTGCTGATGCTGGGGACTGAACCCAATGCTTACACATGCTAGGCTGTACCAGTGAGATATGCCCCCAGCACAGGAACCCACATTATAGTGGGAGAAAACAACAAATAAATTAGTGTATGGGGCTAAAGGTGTAGCTTGGAGTTAGAGCACTTGCCTAACCTATGAGGCCCTGGGTTCAAACCTCAGTATCATGGGAAAAAAAAAAAAGTTTTAGATTTATTTACCCATTCATTTTTTTGGTACTGGGGATGCTTTGCCATTGAGGCCCCCAGCTCTTCTTAAAAAAAAATTTTTTTTGAGGCAGAGTCTCCCTACATTGCTTAGGGTCTAAGTTGCTGAGACCCCTACGTCAGCCTCCCATCACTGGGATTACACACGTCCGTGCCACTGCACCCAGCTTAAGATATGTTTTTATACAGTATAAAGGAAGTGGGTGACACATCCTAAGTGTACGGAACATGAACCTTTATGTTGTATTCTAAGGTGCTGACAGCAGTTGTGCAGGGTGAAGAAGTGAGATGCTGGATGCTGTCTTCTGACTTACCTGGGTATTCCTGGCTCGCCTGAACTTGATCTTACATCAATCTTTCTACCCCTTCTTCCTCATCACTAAAACAATAATGGTCATTAAAGTTGTTATGAATATTAATAATATAACTTTCTCAGTGTATTGTATTGTATTCAGGTAGATTAAGCTGGCCCTGGAAGGAAATGTAACATTGTACTGTTTTCTGAAAGTGGGCATCTGGTAGGAACATTGATGAAAAGCTCTTTGCTTGGGAGCAATTTGAACTGATAATATTCTTTCCATGAAGCATATTTTCAGCAGAGAAATATTCTTGCGAATTGCTGTTGCATATGATTTAGTAGTAATCTCCAAAGTTGGGCGGAGAAATATTAGGACTTATTTCTCATGTAACTTTTTAATTTCCATTTTTATCTTAAAATTATAACGTGGGTACAGGTGTACAAGTATATAAACACATGGAGAAGTACGTGTGATCAAAATTTCTGATGGGGGCTGTAGTTGGCTCAGTGGTAGAGAACTTGCCTAGCACATGTGAGGCACTGACTTTGACCCTCAGCACCACATAAAAATGAATAAATAAAATAAAGGTATAAAAAAAGAAAAAAAATCTCATGGGTTTGCAGTGAGAAAGGGTTAAAGGTAGGCCAATTAAACTCAGCCTTCATTTTACTTGCCCACCATGAACTAAGGTGTGTATTCACCTCAGTTAACTTGGTGCCACTATGCTAATCAATAGTAGAGTGAAAGAAAGAACCCAGTTTAATCCCAAATTACAGTTCTTTCAGTTTCTGGGGGAAAAAGGGAAGGGGAAACTAAATGCATGTTGCAAGATAGGTAGCAACTTTCAGATGGGTCATATCAAGTTCTCAGCCTGAAAAACATGCATGAGATAAGGACATCTCTGTACTGCTTCAAAGTCACTCACTCTCCAAGAAGGAAACCTATTTGGTGCCATCTCCTTTCCTCATACATGGTGAAGTGTTTCTATTTCACATCACACTGCAGTTTTTTGTTTTTGCAGTGCTGGGGGTTGAATGTGCTAGGCAAAGGCAAGTATTTTGCTTCTGAGCACCACCCCAGCCCTTTGTGTCCTTCCACTCTCAAGTGCACGCACGCACACACACACACACACACTCCCTATCACCACACTCTGGCTCCTTTCAAATCACTCACTTCACCTCTACAGAGGTGACACAATCTGTAACAAAAAACTGAAGCAGCAAAATGTTGAAAATAAAAATAAAGCGGACTTTATTTAGAAGATAAAGGTGGTGGTATCAGTTTTGGTTAATAAAGTTGGGCTCAAGTGTTTTAACAGGTCTTTAATGCCATCACACAGACTGGCATGCCAAGGGCATTCTGAATGCCAATTACAGATTGAAGTTGTTTCAAAAACCAAGATGCTATCAAAAGCTGATGGAGTTTGGATTTCTCTTAAAGTCAGACTAACACACTTCTTAAATAGTAAGAGTAAATAGTTGCTTGGTTCTGAAAGTTTAAAACACTACACTGAGCAATTCCCCTCCCTTTCTCCACAAGTCCCTAGGGCAATATTACAGTTGCCTCTGACAGCTAAAATTTCCACATTTCAAGAGGGGGGCTGAGGGGAACAGGGAAAAATGAAAAGCAAAATTAAATGTAATTGGTATAGGCAGCTGCCACTTGTGGCAAACCAAAGTCTAGTCCGATGCCCATTTTCTTCACATTTGCACTGACATCTTCCCAAGCAGACGGTAACTACATTCTTAAAGGAATGTGCCAAGACTAGGGTGGGGGAAGGCCCAGACAGTGATTGGACAGAATGCATTTGCATCCAGTTGCCTTAGGTGGTACAACTGATTAAAGAAAATACCCAGACTATGGAAAATCCACTTGCCAAAGGTATCTAGGAAAGAGGAGGATTAAATACATAACCAGTGCAGAATAACTACAAGGCACCAAGACCACAATCCAACCAGCCCATTTCCTCCTCTCCAACACTGAATGGATCTGGGAGAAAGCATTAATAACAGCACTTATCAACTGGTTCCCTGGAACAAAACACACGGAAGGTTTTGTTTTCATTATGGTTCTTGGTGTACTTTATTCTCCTGCTGTCTAGCTAAGCAACCCACACAGGACAGAAATGGGTAGCACTGAGGAATGATCAGATTATTTTTTCTTTCTTTCCCCAATATTCCTGCCCCTCCCTAAGCCCTGACCCAACCCTACCTAGTATCAGGAATGGTTAGTATATCATTTTCCCTCACTCAAGAAACAACTAAAATGGAAACAAGGCATTAAGAGGACCAGGCCCTCTTCTCAATAGGCTTAGGAGCTGGTGTGAGTTCTCTATTCACAATGGAGCGTCTCTCCTTCAAACACCTGGATTTTTTTTTTTTTTTTTGTACACTGGTTCATAGATCGGCACTTGACTTTGAACCTGGCACCAAAAGGCACAATATCTGATACCCTGTACAAGAGCTATTAGAGATGCTGCCATATGGATGGGCAAAACCGAGCCAATCCCACTTATGAATGGAAGGCTGGATCAGGGAAGGGAAGATGAAAGGAAGAGATGGGAAAAAACATAAGCCCATGCTTTTTACAGGATGAAAATGAAAGTGGGTCTTGCTTTTTAATCCTTAAACTACTAGGAAGCAATTTAAAAACCTTCCTTGCTTTTTTTTTTTTTGAAAGCCGCATACTCAAATGCCAGCAAAAACTCCCTAGTATCTGCAAAAACCAAAAGCTCACCAACATCCCTTCTTATTGCTGAAAGTCTAAAATTCAGGATGCCCTGTTCCCTTGTAAAAGGGAAAATGATTCTGGTTTATGGTAATCACAGCACATTACACTTGAAAAACAAAACAAAAAACTAAAATGTGTGAACAGGGGAGTGTTTGACACCATTTTATTAATCTTCAAACTTCAGTGGAAAAATATAACCATTTTCAAGTGCCACTTTCATCATGAGTTCTGCTGTGTGTGTGTCTATACATACATATAGACACACACACTTTTGTTTTGTTGGTTAGTTGGTTTTTAAGTGCAGCAAGAGACCAATACCGCATTGGAGTCAATCAAATAAAAGAGAACAGAAGGCCAAGCAGTTTCCAAATGGTTATTTTATCAGATTGTTTAAACATTAAATTTATCCTCATTTGCAATCCAAAATAGTTACCTGAAGTCTGCTGTTGTGTATGTTTGTATGTGTGTGCGCGCATGTGTGTTTACTTTTATTGGTTATTTGTCTTCTAAACTCTTTGGCACAATTCTCTGGGGGCGTTCAGACTGCCACGATACAAGTCAGGAGAGAGCTTTTCTTTTGTGCTGCCAATTTCAAGCATTTAAATTTTGGTCTGGGTTGTGGCTTTTTTGTCTTTTAAGTCTGCATTCTTTATTTATAACAATTAACAATTTGTACTTTTATTTTTCTATATCCTCTAACTTCAGAGTTTTATTTTTCTCCCCCCTCCCCCCTTCTACATTCACAGTTGAACCATATTATTAGGAAAGGCGCCTTGATGAAAAGATCAGGATAGGAGCTCTGACCATTCGTCAGTGTTTTCCCTAAAATAATTAAAAAAAAAAAAAAAAAAAAAAAAAACCAACAAAACAAAACCTAAAGAGCGTCTTTCCTTTTTTTTTTCTCTTTTTTTTTTTACATGTCTTGTGCTGCATCAGTAGACAGAACTTCGGTTAGTTTTATGAAATGCAACATCTAACCCCTTGTTTTCTGGGAAAAAGAAACTGCAATGACTTGAAGTTGAGAATGTGGATACCGCCTCACTCACACACACTCATTCTCAGACTGTAAAAATCCCTCACCCTCCTTCTAGCCTGCGCGTGTACAATACCGTGTGGCAAAGGTACAGCGAAGGTGGGCTTGAGACCCAGGCTCCATCTTTCTCCTCAGTAGCAAAGGCCAGGCTGCCTTTTACAACAAAGCACCACAGCTGAACCCAGTCCCTCTTCCTCTCCCAAACCAGTCATTCCACTCGGCACTGCCAAAAGACAGAAAAGCTAGTTCTAGCCTCCCCTGGGAAGAGACAGCTTTTTTTGTAAGCAAGTAAATCCGTCGTTTCTCTCTTTTCCAAGATGGCTGATGTTATGGTTTTCTACGAAGTCAGTGCTTACTTAGCTCACTAACAGCGCTGCTGTTGGCGGCTGCGGCTGCTGCTGTGGCAGGATTTTCAATGTGGTGTGTTTTCAAGCCTCACTCACTCATCCTCTCATTCCCAAACATTCAGCATCCGTGCACACTCCTCACTTCCGGGTTTTTCAAAAGATTGGAGATTTCCAGTGGGGGTCTCAGGTTATCATCCCAATGGTAACAGATCTAAAAACAGATGGAAGGAAAAGATCAATCCTAGGATCACATATGCTCAATAAAGCCTAAATATCTCCAATTCCCACAACCAAGTGCTCATAGGCTGAATGGATTTGTCAACTTCAAGAATGAATAATTTTCCTTCTCTTCCTATGTGCCACCTACCTGCTCTCATGATCACATCCATCAGGGGTAGATGGGAAAATAAAATAAAAAACTAAAAATAGCCCTCCTCCCCTTTTTTACTAAGACTTACTAAGTTGCAGAAAGCAAACAAACAAACCTATGTTCCAAAGCAGGGTTCTCAAAGGATATCTTCTATGGAGTTTGGCAATGTCTTAAAATACTTGTCTAGCAGACACAAGGCCCTGGGTCTGATCTGCAGCATTGGGGGCGAGAGGGAATGGGGAAGGGTGTAGAAAAGAGAATTATGGGAGAATGCCTCTATCAATAGTTTTATTAGGGTCCAAATGTTTTGGGAATTTTTCGTTGTAAAAGTTCTGTTCTAACCAGGTGTTGTGGCATATGCCTATAATCCCAGAGACTCAGGAGTCCGAGACAGGAGGAAGGCACATTTAAGGCTAACCTCAGCAAATTATTGAGGTTTTTAGTGAGAACCTGTCTCAAAATAAAAACAAAAAGGAACTATGGACGAAGCTCAGTGGTAAAGTGTCTCTGGATTAAATTTCCAGAGCCCCCAAAACAAAACCACAAAAAAGTTCTGTTGGCAGGCAGGGCAGTGCATGCCTGTAATTCCAGTGACTCACAAGGTTACGGCAGGAAGATGGCAAGTTCAAAGCCAGCCTCAGCAACTTAGTGAGACCCTGTCTCAAACTAAAAAATAAAAAAGGCAGGGAATATAGCTCAGTGATAAAATGCCCCTGGGTTCTATTCTCCAGCACCATAATCAATCAAATATCTGGCTCAAGAAAAATGAGAGTGGGCTGGGGATGTGGCTCAAGCAGTAGCGCGTTCGCCTGGCATGCGTGCGGCCCCTGTTCGATCCTCAGCACCACATACAAACAAAGGTGTTGTGTCTGCCAAAAACTAAAAAAAAAAAAAAAAAAAAATCAAAATTCTCTCTATTAAAAAAAAAGAAAAATGAGACTGCCTGACTTTTCCCCTAGTACAAGGATGAGGAACAAAGGTTCCTATATGAGAAGCACCTATATGAGAAAAGAGTACCAATAAGATACCAGCACCTGCCACTATAGCCTAAATGTACCTCCTCCTAAGAAACCTGAAGAAAGAAAAGTGGTGACCCAATCTTACCAAGCTTGGTTCTTCAGTTTTCTCAGTTCTTTTGTGGCCCATGTAGCAAGGGTTTTTGCTTTGTTAGTCTTCGATCTCCGGCCTTCAGTTAACAGTTCATGGATCATTGGCCTAGCTTCTACTAATTTCAGTACATCTTTCCCAAATGCTGTACATAAGTCCCTGTGTAGAATAAACCCACTTGTGAATGAACTCCAGGAACCATGTTTTGAACCTGTCAAACCACTGCTGAGCATTCATCTACTTTTTAAAACTAGAAGAGCTTTTAGATGTAAATTAGGATAATTTGTCCAAGGTTAAACAGCTAAATTCACTGTAAAAATCAGAAATAGAATCCAGATCTTTGGGCTTAAAACCAATGCTCTCTTAACAATGCATCAGAAACCCTCAAAGGATATTAAACAGAAGTATTGACCAGAGCTCTGGAGGGTCTGAAATGGATTATCACTTATGAATACCCCAAAAGAGACACTATGAGCTTACTATCTCCTTGATGGTAGAGTATTGGTTCTGGGTTCAATCCCCAACATCACAACAAACTAATTCCTGAATCTCCTCTGAGAAGTGGATTATTACTATCTATTAGTCTTTCAAGATTCGTTCCTACATGTTTCTCATTTTGCATGAGAATACTTAGCTATTGGAAGCAGGTATAACTCACCCTATCAGTCCAGCAGCACAGGCTACTACTCCATCTGTATGATCCTCATCCCCAGCAATGTGGTCAATGAAAGACAGAATAAATTCTACTCTGGGTTGTACCAGCATCACATCAGCTATAAAAGAAAAGAGAAGGTGTGATGAAGTTGCCCTTAATTTGGCAGGACCACACCTTTTCCAAAGTTTCCAGCTATTCTACCCATATCAGGTTTGAGCTGGATAACCAGCTGCAGAGTAGTACCAAATTATTCCTCCTAAATGAGGATGTCATTTTTCAAATCAACAGATGAAACAAATAATAATCAGATACAATGTACAAGGAACAAATGGAACTTTTTCTTCTGAACCTTGAATGTCAAAAGAGGTAAAGTACAAATATCTCCCCCAATAGTAATATGGGGGTAGTCATGTATCAACCATTCATGGGTGGTCAGAAAGCAACCAGCAGAGATAGCTCATCTGGCTTTGCAATCTGGTGGGTGGACTTAAGGAGCTGGGTTGTATACTCAACGGTGTACGTTCTCCTGATCTCCTTTTAATCCCTGGACGATTCCAGTATAGGCTTCCAAGCAGCCTTCTCTTAGTTCATTCAGATAATCCACCATGTCGTAGTCGGACTGGAAGAGACAGAGAATAAAACGTCCATCACACCAATTACATGTATTTTTTGTGGTACTGGAGATTGAACCTAGGGATATTCTACCACTAAGCTATATCCCTATCCCTTTTTCATTTTGAGACAGGTTCTTATTAAGTTGCCCAAGCTGGCCTTGAATTTCAGTCTTTCTGGCTCACCTCTCCAGTCACTGGGATTACAGATGTGTGCCACCACATCCAACCACTGATCACCTTTAATGGTATGTTTGTAAATAGTCCTCCCCTCCACTTAGAGCTGGACTTAATGATTAGCAGGACAGCTTCAAGCTTACCTTGTCCACTTGGGCTTGGGAGGCCTGCTGAAGAGTATTCAATACAACCTCTAGGTATTTTTTAAATTCTCCACCAATAGCAAGGGCAATATCACCAAACACAGACAGAATCTGCGGCTTCACAGACCTGTGGACATTCTCATTCTGATTTAAAAAAAAAAAAAAAAAAGTCAATTAACTAACATAAAAATTTGATCCAGAGACTCAAGAAGAATCTTTGGACATATACAAAAGTTAAATGATTACTGCTGGATAAAGAAATTTTTTTTTACAATATCGTTTAGTTATCAATGGATCCTTATTTATTTATATGTAGTGCTGAGAATCAAACCCAGTGCCTCACATATGCTAGGCAAGCTCTAAAACTGCACCACAACCCCAGCCCACAAGAAATTGTTTTTCCTTTATACTTTACTGTCCTTTTTTTATACAAGTAGAGTACACATTCCTTTAATTAACTTTGTAGATTCTAAAATCATCTGAAAGAAAATAATTCCCTTCTCCCATAAGCTCACAGTGCTATGGGAACTTACAGCTTCCTATTGTGGTCTTAATGCTTAAATTTCTTGCCAACTTTATTTTATTCAAAGAGTGGTTGTTCATATGTGTAGACACTCACCCCCAAGTTCTCCAGCAGAAGCTGCATTACCTCATCACAGAAAGGTAAGATGTTGGATTGCAGGGCACGGCACAAATCTCCCACTAGGCCCACAGCTGCCAAACAAACCTGAAAAGAATCAAGGAAATAATTTCCCAAAAAGAAAAGGTGGCCTATATGGGTAAGGCAGGACCTAGAATCAAAGACCACCTCCCCACCACAACAGCTGAGATTAGTTAATTTTAACAACCAATATGGCAAGAAGTAATTAGAAGTATTAGAGATACCATTAATAAAAATTCCCAGAACAATCAAACAAAACCACAAGAAGCTTTGCTCTCTCTTTTTTTTTT